TGGCCTCGTCAGGATGTTGACATAGTGCCGCGTGTATAAAGTATACACGTGGCACAATGTCAACATCCTGACGAGGCCAGTGCCAACTCTCATCAATAGTTTTTGTGTGGATGTGGTCCACAGCTGTGTGGACAAAACAACTAGCTAAAAGTAATACTAAAATTATCTTTTATCTCTACAATACTCTTTCACTTTTAAAAGCGAGTTCTACTTCCACATCACTAAATCTGTAATTCCTTTACTATTTTACTTACGTTTCTACAATATTTCTCATTTTCAAAAGAGGTCTCACATTCACATCACATCAAAACAAAATAAATAAAAATTCAAATTATTTTTAAAATAAATCTTTAATAAATTAACCTTCACTCAGCAATGACACGTTAAATAGGTCAATTTTGATTTAATTGCATAAATTTTTTGTGATTTAAGTACATAAGTGTAGTTTTTTTTAAGTTTGATGGCTCAACTGCATATTCGAGTGTAATTCAGTGGTTTATTAAATCATTGTTCATTAATTATATATATATATATATATATATATATATATATATATATGCATTATATATGATTCAAAAAAGATACATTATATATAATACATTGCATTTTTTTTAAGTGTATGTGCGTGTGTATATAAGGGCATGCTCATATGAGAACACCCTCCCACATGAGAACGCGAGAACTTATCTAAGCTATATAAAATAAAAGATCAATGGTTATCATTCAAAAGATGGAGTGATTATCATTTAGAGGCAAATTAGTCCTTTGTGTCTATAGAAAGTCCATCTGATCTACATATGCAAAATTTGAGATTCCCGGCCTCATTCCATTTATTATATATGCTTGTATTATATATTTAATTATTATTTATTTTTGGGGTGGGGTGTTTCTTAGTAATTATTTTAATGGTTGACTTTGATTTGTTCCGTATGTCATTGCGTCGACGGTAGTGCGGTATGTGCACTATTATGCTTTATCGTGTGCACTTTGATATGCTTCGTACAAATAAACACTATTACCCGTTTGGGCACTTGTGTTGTGCACATATATGTTATTTGTGGTTTTTTTGTACTCACGTGGCCGTTTGTATGCATTCTACATGAGATGACACACATTTATTCGTACATTTTATCATTTTTAGACAATGTGTTTCATTGTTGTTCGTTGTATGCTCTCACATGACTGTTTGTGTGCATCCGTGCAATGTAAAAATCATCCTACTAGACAATTTGTAATTCAGCCATAATTAAAATTCCTATAATCAAGCAAAAGATATGCATTAAAAATTAATACAATTTTAAATACACACGTAATTACAATTTTACCCTTGTAAATTAATTATGAAAATAAAGATACCAAAAATAAGGAAAAATCTAATCAACTAAAATCTCTTTGATAGACGTACGATTCAGATGTTTTATTATGTTCTCATATGATCTTTTATATATATATATATATATATATATATATATATATATATATATATATATATTCCTTAATAATAACAACAATAACAATAAATATTTGAGATATTTATGAATGTTGGGATAATCCACAAAAATAGGGAAAAAATCTAAACAAATTAGAATGCCCTTATGTAGTTATGTAAACATACATATATCATTTATGAGTTAATTCCAGCAATGGTCCTCCGACTATTGTGATTTTCTAAAATTAGTCCTTGACTTTTAATTTGGACAAAAAAGACACTCAACTATCTAAATCATTCCACCAAAGGTCCTTCCGTCTAAATAGAGTTTGTTGACCGTCATTGTTGGGGCAATTATGTCTTTTCCTAATATATTGTTTTCTTCTTCCTATTTTTTCTCTTATTAGTCTTGCTTATCTCACGTTGCTGGCTTTATTTGAGTATTTGACGCAAGCATATAGCTCCACAGCGACAAAAGCACAAAGAACTCCACAAGGAAGAAAGCACGAAGAACTCCACAACATCCTCAGTGTCTGAAATTCCTTCAGTATTGAAATGTCTGCAAGGTATAGTAGTCAAAGATCTGCATCTTCAAGGAATGAAGAATACATCTATGGTGAGTACGTAAGCATTCCAAAGTGTCAATGTGGCCAACAATTGAAGCTACAAACATCTTGGACGAATGATAATCCAGGTAGAAGATATTGGGAGTGTCGATTTGAAAATGTGAATATTAATTTTTGGTTAGGGTTTTTTTCCCACATAATTGGACGATTTTTTTTTTTTTTTTTAATTCAATTTGGTGATTTTCGTGTAGGGAGGGCAAATGTGTGGTTTTGTTAGATGGTATGATCCTCCATGTGTGCCAGGTCAAGAAGAATTATTCCTGGACTATTGAGAAGGATTAATTGAGATGAAGAAGAAATAGCAAGTCTTAAAATGAGGCTACAAGCTTGTGCTAAAGTTGATGGGCAAGGGAGCAATGGTAGACGGTGTGTTAGGATAGTGAGTGGAGTCATTGTGATATGCACTTTGTTGTTGGTAGTTATAAAACTCAATTCACCTACAAAAGATAAAGTTCTTATGCTGGCATAGTAATGGTTATGTGTAATGTTTCTGTAATTTGGAGAATTTATTTGTAATGAATTACCATTTCCAATATGTTATGCTTATCACCATTTACAATGTAGCAATTTCCATTTACACAATCTTATGTTGCCTTTCATTTCCAGTAGCATACCATTTCCAGTAGTAAATGACAATAATATGCCAAATAGCAATTTACATTGGAAATTTATTGGACATTAAATCTGCAAATTGGAAACCATCTAATATCTGCAAATTACATTCCAATAGCATTATAAACCATATTCCAATAGCATTATAAACCATCTAATATCTGCAAATTACATTCCAGTAGCATTATATCTGCAAATTGGAAACCATCTAATATCTGAAAATTACATTCCAGTAGCATTATATCTGCAAATTGAAAAACATCTAATATTTGCAAATTACATTCCAGTTCATCTATATATCTGCAAACCATCTCCAGTAGGTACCAACATTAAATGTTAATTACTAACAACCTGAAATGTTAAATGTTGAAAATGACGTATTAGCTCTTTGTTTATATTTGAAGTTGGAATCATCTGAACGTCCACCTATCCCAATCTCTCCATTCACAAGCTTCATATAAAAAAAAAAAAGGGAAAATATAAACTACTCCGTATATCCCAAAGACAAATGCTAAGTCTGTTGAATTTCGTGCATACAAATAGTACCTGCGTGAAAGAGAAAACTCGTTTACTTCACTTGAATTTTGCCCGTTGCATATTACGTCGGATTCAGTCCTGCTTTCTCGCTATTCACCACACCATCGCTTGAATTTCGCCGTTGTTGTCTTGCTGCGTATTTCGCTCGTTGCTGTCAATTAGGTTTTACAATTGGAGATTTTACCAGTCAATTAGAAGACCAATTAATTTACCATTCTATCCTTCACTTAATAGACACAATATAATGAAAATACAAAATTGTCTCTAAAATTAACGGTCAACAAACGCTATTTGGACGGAAGGACTTTTGGTGGAACGATTTAGAAAGTTGAGTGTCTTTTTTGTCCAAATTAAAAGTCAAGGACCAATTTTGAAAAATCGCAATAGTCGGAGAACCATTGCTGGAATTAACTCTATCATTTATTATAGAGGGTCTTGTTTTCTTTTAAATGTTTATTCCACCCCTATTACTAAAATAATTAAACATTTGAAATACAATTTCTAAAATTTATTAAATGAAATAACATTCGTATTTTATTCCCTATATATTTCATTTTTTTTTATTTATAAAATATCATTTATATTTTCTCAAAATTCATTTTTGTGAACCAACATATTGTAAAAGTATTGTTGATTTTAAATGGGCACATGCATATTTATAAAAGTATATTTACTGAATCCTCCCTATGCTTAAAGATCTTGTAGATACAATTTCTGAAATCTATTCAATTCAAGAAATAAATTCATATTTTATTACTTATTATCTATTTGAATTCATTCTTTATGATATAATGTCACTTTTATTATTTCTTCAAAATTGATTTTATGAACCAACATGCTATAAAAGAAGGGTATTATGCATTTTAGTTCGACACATATTTACAAAATTATATTTACTATATATATTGTCCATGTGATTACAAATCATTGGTTATATATTGAAAATGATCTCTTTGTCCTTCGCCCTGTCATTGTTTACCAATCGTTCTAGCATTTGTCAACTAAATACAAGTTCAACACAATTTTAAACATGCCACAACACCCAAACAATTATATAATGATATAAAGAACTTAGAAAATATGCATGAATACTGAAATGAGCAAATACCAACTTTGGTCCCACGAATATTAGTAAAATGATAATTTTGGTCTACATGTTTAATTCCTACCAAATTTCATCCACAACTATTGTTTTAGTACCAATTTTCATCCACGACTATTATTTTAGTGTCAAAAATTATCACGACGGTCACAACTCCATTTAAGGCATGCCGAAATTTAATTTTTTTAAGGATATTTTCGTCCTTTTAACTTAAAATCCCAATTTGAACATAAATAAAGAGATATAAACCTCTAAGATCGATCCCAATTCGCAGTTTTCATCCTCATCCTACCTTAGTTTGAGGAAAGAAACTGTGAATTGGGATTGATCTTAGGACTTAAATCCCTTTATTCATACTCAAATTGAGATCTTAATTTGAAAAGGACAAAAATATCCTTAATAATTTCATATTTCGGCATGTCTTAAACGAAGGGGTGATCGACGTAATGAATTTTGACACTAAAACAATAGTCGTGGATGAAAATTGGTACTAAAATAATAGTCGTGGATGAAAATTGGTACTAAAACAACAATCGTGGATGAAAATTGGTATGGATTAAACATGTGGATCAAAACTATCATTTTACTAATACTCGTGGGACCAAAATTGATATTTGCTCATATATATATATATATATATATATATATATATATATATATATATATATATATACTCAATGGCTACCTATATATATATATATAGTATGTAACATTTTATTAAGAGACGATTTAAGTATTTAACATACATGCAATACATATTACATAAACAAAGGTAATTTATTAAAGGCTTAAAGCAATTGCAGTGAGGTAATTATAGTTATAGTGGAAATGGGAACATTATATTGTTACTACATGCCATCTAAGCACAAGATGCTTGGTTTAAGAGCATCCATATTAATGTTTATTTTTTTGTGGTTTATTATTATTATTTTTTTTTTGGAAACAAAGAGAAGAACTAAGCCCGTGAAAAACTCATGCGATATTGCAGCCTGTCCTCCGAGAAGGTGCCCCACGACTTGTGTTAGCACCAACCCTATCCTCCCACATTAAACCTTCAACGTATTGTGGTTTTTTAGGCCCACGTATAGTAGAAGATAGAAGATTTAAAAATAAAAATAAAAATAAACAAAAGGGAAAAACAAAAACTAAAAAGCTAACGAACTAAAAAAAAAAAAAAAAAAAGGAACAAAGTTTAATGTTTTCTTTAGAGTGGCCGCTAGCTGGCGCCACTCTGAAGCGTTCCAGTAGACAGTGCACGCCTGCCATCTTTCTTTCTTTCTCTCTTCTTCTTCTTCTTCTTCTTCTTCTTCTTCTTCTTTTTTTTTTTTTTTAATAAAATCTGACAAAGTTCTCAACCTTGTAGGAGTGAAATTTGCTAAAAAAAAAAACTACCTCTCACATCAGTTCTTCTCACCTTAGCTAGACTAGTTTTTCTCTACCAAAAACTCAATAAAAACTACTACTATAGATACTCTAACAGTAGTAAAAGTAGCTAGAATAAAAAGTAAAAATAAGCATGCATGTCAAATCCTTCAAAATCACGTTTAAAAAAGAAAATTTATTTGGTCAAAAATCTACTCTCCCGCCTAAAATGGGATATAGTTTGAATTTCTCTCTTGTACAACGATCCATTCTAATTCTCACCAGTAGACTATAACGCACACCACTGAGTATGCAAATGCAAACTTTAACACCATAATTTGTTTTATTAAAAGTTTGCAATAATTATAAATTTGTTCTTTTTTTTTTTTTTTTTTTTTGCTATAATGCTCAATTATTGATGAACCCTGATGAGGGGCTATGATTTGTCCTCACCATTTACATGAGGACCTTGTCCCTTCACTAAATCACCTAAGATGCACACCACTGATACTCAATTTGCAACTATACAAATTCTATTAGGCAAGTGCACATATTATTTTTTAGTACAGAGGTGTATGTGATGAGTATCGTATCCCACATGGACTGCAAATAGTAGTAGTATATGATGTTCTATTATGTAGCCTAAGAAATTTGTGAAAAATAAATGAGTGAAAGGAAAAATAAATAAATAAATAAATAAGGCATAAGTAAAGACGATAAAAATGATGTAATTAATCAATGAGAAAATGGCACTTGGATCTATGGATGCCCAGCCTAGGACATTGACCTTAAAAAATACATGTCAATAACAATTGTTTATGCATAAGACCTCGAGAACTCCTATTTCTTGCTAGTATATTTCTTAAGACTATTAACAACTAATCTTAAGTTGATTAATTAGAATCACTTTTAAATAAAAATCTTCCTAAGGGTTACATTAACGATTTGTGAGTTTTACTGAACGATTTGATCCAAATATAGAGGATTGATGTTATCCTACCTCTATGCCGGGTTGCATTCCACTCCTTCCAATTGTGTGAAATCTACATTAACTTTTGGATATCTCTATGGCAAAGTTCATCCATTAATCAAGAATCCAATAAGCATGCAATTATAGATTCAAGAGCAGTAAAGAAACATAATTAAATCAAAGAACAAACAATTATAAATTAGCAAGATATCGTATCGTATCCCACATGTCCCACATGGACTGCAAATAGTAGTAGTATATGATGTTCTATTATGTAGCCTAAGAAATTTGTGAAAAATAAATGAGAGAAAGGAAAAAAAAATAAGGCATAAGTAAAGACGATAAAAATGATGTAATTAATCAATGAGAAAATGACACTTGGATCTATGGTTGCCGAGCCTAGGACATTGAGCATCTAAAGTCTTAACACTAGCTTTTGTTAAATATTGGGATAAAAGAGTGAAAGTCAAAACACAAGTTTGGTGAAATTGAATGGTGAAATTGGGTGAGGGGTGTTGTGAAAATTGAACTCATGACCTCTTACACCTAAAGCAAGAATCATACCACTAGACCAAAAACCCAATTAATTATTAATTTCACATTAAGAACTTGAGCAACTAAAGTCTAAACACTAGTTTTTTAAATATTGAGATAAAAGATTGCTAACTGAGTATATGCATGATTGTGGCTTACTGCGAGGTGAAAATTATTAGGACTATATTATTCATATTAGACTAGGACTATATTATTCATATTAGACTAGGACTATTTATCCATATTAGACTAGAACTATATTATTCGTGTTAGACTAGGACTCTATCTAGTATCTATATATTCGTTCTCTGTACACTCAGACATCATGATTGAATACAATACTTTTACATACATTCTCATCTGGTATCAGCTTCCAGGTTTTCTCTAATGGAAGGTCTCGGTCTCCCTAGTGATGGCTATGTTCGATCTTCTGAACGGACCGTTACCGAGACTTCCCATATACCTACCGGGAATAGCCTCTCATCAGCTCATCACTTTGTTTCCTTGAAACTGACATCCCGTAATTATCTTTTTTGGCGGGCGCAGATGCTACCATTTCTAGAAGGTCAAGGTCTTCTCGGCTTCATCGATGGTAGTATACCGTACCCGGTCGCTACCGCCGACGCCGTTACTTCAGGCGACCTCATGGCTCGGCAGGTGGCTTGGAGGAGGCAAGACAAGGCTATCTTATCCCTCTTAATTTCGTCTCTTTCGGAGGAGACGATGCGGTTCGCCGTTGGTCGTTCTACTTCACGGCAACTCTGGCTCACCATCGAACAATCTCTCGCCTCTTCCTCGCGTTCTCGGGCGTTGCGGTTATTTGGTGAGTTGCAAGCCCTTCGGCTGGGTGATTCCTCCATCGCAGATTATATCGGTCGTGCACAGCTGTTGATTGATGATTTAGCTCTTGCCGGTCGTGATGTTACGTTAGACGATAAGAACTTATACGTCTTTGTGGCTTGCGGTTTGAGTTTCGTCCTCTTGTGGCAACCCTGGCTCGGGATATTACGGTCCCACTTGCCGAGGTGGCGGATTTCTTGGTGTCATAGGAGTGTATTTGTTCTAACGATGGAGTCGGCGGTGTCTCGCCGGTTGCGATGGCCGCTGGCCGAGGCGGTGCGACCCCTAGTCACGGTGGTCGTGTCAACGTGACACAGCAGCAAGGTCGCGGTCGAGGCTCGGGCGGCGGCGGACGTGGTCGCGGTCGCGAGCGTGGCTCGGGCACGGGTCCTCGGTGCCAAATCTACAACAAACAAGGACACGGGGCTCTCTCGTGTTGGCATCGTTTCTCAACCCCCCCCCCCCCCCCCCTCGGGCTCCTCAAGTGAATGTGGTTGTCTCTGATGAGAATAGTGACCATAGCGGTCCTCATGAGTGGTTCCCGGACACTGGTGCTACGAATCATGCTACCCCTGATTCATCCTTGATGACTTCCGCGACAAGTTATGATGGCCGGGAAACTCTACGAGTTGGCAGTAATACAGGTTTGCCTATTGCTAATGTTGGTTCCACTTCGTTGGCCACTGATTCTAGGTCGTTTAAGTTGTATGATGTTTTGCATGTCCCTGGTATCTCTTCTTCTTTATTATCTGTTCAGCGTTTTGCAAAAGACAATAATGTTTTCTTTGAGTTTCACCCTCTTTGTTTCTATGTGAAGGACATTTTGACCAAGAAGGTTCTTTTTAAGGGACATGCGTCTGGAGGTCTCTACGCATGGCCTGCGTCTTCTGCCTCCCCTACTGCGTTTGTTGCTGCGCGATCTTCTTACGTTTGGCACATGCGGTTGGGGCATCCTCATTCTCGACTCTTGCATCAAATTCTAGCATTTTCATTTGCATCGATCTCTCCCGTCCTACTCTTACTTGCGAGTATTTGGTTGTTTGTGATTTCCTGTCCTTCGTCCATATAATCGCAATAAACTCCACTTTCGTTCGTCTCCTTGTGTTTTTCTAGGTTATCCTCCGTATTATCGTGGCTACCGCTGTTTGGATACTAACACTAACAAGGTTTTTATCTTTCGCCACGTGCGATTCGATGAGACTGTGTTTCCCTTTGTTTCTCCTGTTGCCTCGCAGGTTGCTAGACCATGTTCCGAACCTTGAGCTGCTGCACTGGTAGTGACGTGCCGAGGTAGTGGTGTCTCGGCCACGACTATTGATGGCGCTCGGCGGTCGAATGAGCCCGTGTCAGCTTCTGGCGATGGTGACGATAATGGTCCCGAGTAGACCGCACCAAGTGAACGGACTGTCTCGGACCAGCAGGTTGAGCAGCGCGGCAGGCCGCGCGGACGTCCTCGGTGAGCCACTCCTCCTCCTCGGCCGCATGCTATGAACTCTCGTAGCTCGAGTCTGCATCAACATGTCGACTTAACCATTATTTCTACCATAGCACCTGAGCCTACTTGTTACTCTCAGGCAGTCAAGTTTCCTGAGTGGCGTGATGCGATGGACGCAAAGTTCAATGCCTTGGTCCATAATCATACGTGGCTTCTTATTCCGTTCCAACTAGGTATGAATGTTGTTGGTTGCAGGTGGGTTTTTAGAACCAAACGGAAGGCCGATGGTTCAATAGAATGTCACAAAGCTAGGTTGGTGGCCAAGGGTTTTAATCAGGTTGCTGGAGATGACTTTTTTGAGACCTTTAGTCATGTGGTTAAACCCACTACGGTATACCTTCTCTTATCTCTAGCCGTATCTCGTGGGTGGACTATTCGCCAGTTGGATATTCACAACGCTTTTTTAATTGGCGAGCTAGCTGAAACTGTTTACATGCGATAGCCACCTGGTTATGAGGACAAGTCGTTAACTGATCATGTGTGTTTACTTAAAAAATCTCTATACAGGCTCAAACAGGCTCTGTGTGCTTGGTTCACAAGGTTACATGATTTTCTTGTCTCTGTGGGCTTCTCGCCTTCAAAGACGGATGTGTCTCTCTTCATCTATTCTCGTGACAATATTCGTTTTTATTTCTTGGTGTATGTTGATGACATTTTGATTATGGGTTCTTACTTAGATCGTGTTACTACTCTTATTGATAAATTAGCCCTTGAGTTTGAGGTTCGTGATATGGGTGTGCCTTCTTTCTTTTTTGGGTATTGAGACTGTCCCCTTATCTGGCGGTATGCTTTTATCACAACAACGGTACATGAAGGATATTCTCAAACGTGCTGGCATGGTGGACTGCAAGCCAGTAGTCACGCCCGTCTCTTCTGCGAAAATCACTGATGAAGTTGTCGTTCCCTATGCCGATCCTACACAGTACAGGAGTCTTGCAGGTGCTCTCCAGTATCTTACAGTAACTCATCCTGATTTATCTTATGCTGTTAATCTCTTGTGTCAACACATGCATGCTCCCACTACTATGGACTGGGCCTCTCTAAAAAGAGTCCTGCAGTATGTCAAGGGCACCCTGAATCTTGGTCTGTGTATTTCTCGGTCAACATCTATGGATATTCACGCCTATTCCGACTCAGATTGGGCTGGCGATCCGAATGATCGCAAGTCTACTAGTGGCTTTGCTGTGTTCTTGGGCAGTAATCTTATATCTTGGGTTTGTCGAAAGCACCGGACTGTGGCATGTTCCTCAACTGAAGCAGAATACAAGGGACTAGCTGATGTATCTGCAGAGGTTACATGGCTTGTTTCCCTGTTACACGAAATCGGCATCCCCCCTACGTCTCCTCCTCGACTATGGTGTGATAATTTGGGAGCTACTTACTTATGTGTCAATCCAGTGTTAGTGTTTCATGCCCGCGCGAAGCACATTGAGATTTACTATCATTTTGTTCACGATAAAGTAGCTAAAAAGGAGTTAGAGGTGCACTTCATTTTGTTCGCGATAAAGTAGTTAGAGGTGCACTTTATATCAACTAACGGATATCTTACATTCTCCCGCCAAAGCGAGAACCATAACCATAGACGAGTGTGACTTGATGTAAAGTGAGGGGTTGCTGATTGAGTATATACATGAGTGTGACTTACTATAAAGTGAGGGGTGTTGTGAGAATCGAACTCACGACCTCTTGCACCCGAAGCAAGAATCATACCACTAGACCAAACACCCAATTGATTACTTTTTTCCATATTAGGCATTTGGGCTACTAAAGTCTAAATAGTATCCTAGTTTGTTAAATCTATTGAGATAAAAGAGTGGAAGATTGCTAACTAAGTATATACATTAGTGTGAATTGCTTTGAGGTGAAAATAAGTGAGGGGTGTTTTCAATAATTGAACTCACGACCTCTTGCACCAAAAGCAAGAACCATACCACTAAACTAAACACCCAATTGATTACTAACTATTTCACATTGCGCATTTGAGAAACTAAAGTCTAAACACTAGTTTGTTAAATATTGAGATGAAAGAGTGAGAGATTGCTAATTGAGTATATGCATGAGTGTGACTTGTTAAGGTGAAAAAGGTGAAGGGTGTTGTGAGAATCGAACTCACGACCCCTTGCACCCAAAGCAAAAATAATACCACTAAACCAAACACCTAACTAATTATTAATTCCATATTAAGGATTTGAGCTACTAAAGTCTAAACTGTATCCTAGTTTGTTAAATATTGATATGAAAGAGTGAAAGTCGAAATAGTTTGTTTAATATTGAGATTAAAGCGTGTAAGACTGCTAATAACTAAGTATATACATGAGTGTGAATTGCTGTGAGGTGAAAACAAGTGAAGGGTGTTGTGAGAATTGAACTCACAATCTCTCGCACCCAAAGCAAGAATCATACCACTATATTATACCCAAATGATAGAAAATTAAAAACACACAAAAACTAACTTGAGTCCATGACTAAATAAACATAAAAGAAGAAAAACCTAAAGCAAAATGGAGAAAGAACCACACAAGAATATAAATTTACCATAAATTAAACCCCTAAAATCACGTCCAACATTCAAAACACGACCTAAAATACCAAAGAACACCTCTGTAAATAAAAAAAAAAATTCAATTACAAACAAACCCAAAATGGAAGGCCCAAATTTACCCCCTTGTGTGTGTGTGAGAGAGCCCGTTCAGGTGAGAACGGACGTCAAGAGAGAATTCAGAACGCATGACATTTGGCTACGTGTCCAGATCTAACGGATGAAAAACGGTGATTTTTCAAAAAAAAAAAAAATGCGGTGACATTTTCATAAATAATTGAACATTAAAGTCCAAGTAAAATGTATTACAAGTGCAAGTAGCGGTTTCATATAGTGCGCCTAAGTGCAAGTAAAAAGTATTACAAGTGCAAGTAAAATGTATAACAGGTACAAGTAAAATTTACACTGAGCATCAATACTAAGTGCACCTAACATTATAACTAGTTGCACCTAATGTTATAATTAGTTGCACTTAGGTGCACGGATGTTAACAAGGTAAATTACATACACTTATAAGTGAAAATAGGTGCACTTAGAAGTGATTTTACTTGCATTTTTTACTTGCAAAGATGCACTAGATAATTGCACTTATAACACATTTACTTGCACCAAAGTTTGAGTTATTTACGAAAATGCCACTGCATCGTTTTGTTAAAATTACATCCGATTCGTTAATTTGAACACGTGGACAGCTGTAAATGGTTCTTATTTCTCTTCTAGGCGGCCATTCGCATTAGAGCGTGTATATATATATATATATATATATATATATATATATATATATATATATATATATATATATATTACACACACACACACGGATGCTGGAGTTACAATCGGATCATCTTCGTCTTCGATTGGAGATGAAGAAGAATAATATTCTATGTTTCCTACTGGGAGATGAAGACGGAGAGTGGTGAGTTACGTTTTTCTTTTTAAATTTAATTTTATTCAAAGTTATTAAAATAAATTAAAAAATAATAATTTTTAATAAGATAACTACTATGTCAGCAATAATCTGAGAAAGATGTCAAATTCGATCAAATTGCATAATTTTGAACAGAGTTCATGAATTAATTGCACTTTTTTTTTAATTGAATGACTAATTGTACTTTTACGTGTAATTCATTGACTAATTTGAATATTTTTTCTTATGTTTAACACACTAATCTCTGATAGTAGTTTTTCTGCATTATAAAAAACATTAATGCATACATTATTTTGTTAAAAATTATAATAGTTTAAAGGGAATTTATTTAGAAAGTTATACATTATACATGTATAACATGAAATAAGCATAGGTACGTGTTACCCGTCCTATCTCTTAAACCACATACATTATACATATGATTCATCTTGACACATCTGAGACGCCATTATATTATATTATTATTGGAAAAGAAATACAATATTATTCTCAAATCTTACTTATGTGACCAATGCGAGCCAAAAATAAATACAATATTATATTAATGATTGGCCTCCGTTCCCTATTCCTAGAGTAGATTAGAAGGGTGAGGAGCTCTCAAGTTTGGGGTTTAATAACCCAAGTATGTATATATATATATATATATATATATATATATATATATGTTTAATATTCTCGCTATATGTCTCTAAAGTCCTAAAGTCTTAATATTGAATTAAGGGATAAGGGTTAAATAGGCCTTCAACTATAGGTCAAAGTGCAATTAGCTCCATAAACTAATAAAAATTTCAATTAGGCTCTTCATCTCTTTACTTGTATGCATTTAAGTCCATAACTTTTTAAAATTGTGCAAATAGCTCCATTTGAGGGTAAACATAAAGGTAATAGCAGGTAAAATTGATTTTAAATTAAGTCCATAACTTTTTATTATTTATTTATTAAATTATATGCATTAAAAATATTTTTTTTATTTTAATTATTTAAAAAAAATTTAAAAAGAGGAGAAATTTACCTGTAACTTAATTGTAACCTGCTAATTAACTTAATAATTGCATAAAAGTGAAAAGATGAAGAGTCTAATTAGAATTTTTGTTAGTTTAAGGGGCTAATTGCATTTTGGCTTATAATTGAAGGGTCTATTTGACCCTTATCCTTTGAATTAAAGACAAAAAGTGAGCCATTTATAAGAGTTACTTTATGACCCTGTTTGGTAAAATAGGTAGCCTATAGGCTAATTTTGGCTTATTTGACGACTATTAGTTGTTTGACTTGGTTAAAAAAATCAATATAACAAGCCGTTTGGTTGAAAGTGGGGAATTACGTGGGAAAGGAATTGAAATTCCATGGGAGATGAAGTACTGGGAATAAAGTGAGAATTTAAATTTCAATGTTTGGTTTACAAGAATAGAATTACTGGGAATTTCAATTCCAATGTTTGGTATACATGGAAATTGAAAGGGAATAAGTAGTATAAAGTCCAAAATGCTCTGTATTAATTTTAGGTTAAAAAAGTGAGGGGTAAATTTGTCTCATCACTAGCTTTTTTACTTCCTAAAATCCCAAGAATTAAAATCTCAGGGGTACATGGGATTTTAATTCCATGAAAATTGGGGAATTGCAATTCCATGCAATTGCAATTCCTTCCAACCAAACTAAAGAATTTTATGGCCTTTGAAATTAGGTGGGAAAATTAAGTGGAAAAAGAATTTAAATTCCCTCCAACCAAACGCGCTGTAAGTGTTTGGTTAATTAGCTTTTTGTAACTCCAAAATGCTAAAATTCAAAAAGCTTTTCAAACCAACTTTTTCAATTAACTTTTTGAAAAAAGAAATTATACCAAACAGCTATCAGCTAACAGCTAATTTACCAAACACCTTTCTACAATCAGCTAATATTATCAACTAGTTATACCTTCTAATTAACCCAATCCGTCAACAGCCAACAACTAACATCTATCAGCTACCAGCCATTTACCAAACAGGGCTTATATATATAATAAAATTATAATTTTGATATCATTAGAGTGTAAAACATAATATAACTTCATTTTTACGGAGTATCTTTACTATCTAATTCTGCGTACACTTTTCTCTTATATAATTTGTTCTTGATTTTTGTATATGAAGGAGTCGGGGCAGTAACATGTTATATATGTAGATGAGAGTTAGGGTGAAATTAAAAATTACCCAAAATGGAGTCAAATCCAGCACAATGACCCGTTTGAGATCCAGAGATTTCGTTGATGCAGAAGTTGGTTGAGTATACACTGTTGGCTTTGCAGTCATCATGAAACATGCAAAGCTGCCCAGTCATGAACAACTGCTTCTTGTTTGGCCCTACGCTTATCTGTGCCATCAGAGTTAATGGCAATACTGCAACATGTATGTATAAATCTCACTTAATTTATGATTTACCTAAATCCAAATCTGGATATAAAGGCAGGCAGTATATATATGTGTGTAAGTGTGTATAGAGAGAGAGAGAGAGAACTAACAAGATGCAACCATGAAAAGAGCCAGTAAGAGCGGTAGTTTGATTGAAGTTTTCTCCATTTCTTGTTTTGGCACTCAATCTGCAGCAATGTGGAGCTAGTATAGCTAGGAGGAGTTAAGCATAATATGGATGATTAGCACCATATATATAGAGTTACACTCCCGTGCGAATGGATTGCCCAGGAGCGAAATAGGAATGACTGTCGTCCACGTGTCCAAATTTAATGAATGAGAAACACTGATTTTAAAAAAAATACGGTGTCATTTTTGTAAATAATTGAACATCGAAAAGTGTAAGTAGCAATTTCATATAGTGCACCTGAGTGCAAATAAAATGTATTACAAGTGAATGTAAATGTATTATAGGAGCAAGTAAAATTTACACTGATCATCAAAACTAAGTGCACCTGACGTTATAACAAGGTGCACATATAGTTATAAGTAGTTGCACCTAGGTGCAGGAATGTTTGCGGGTGATTTCACGGGTACTAACTACCCGTTGAACTCCCCGCAAGAACAAAAGCGATGCCAAACAGAACGAACTCAGATCAATGAATGCTAACAAGGCAAAATTACATGCACTTATAGGTGAAAGTAGGTGCACATGTAACTGATTTTTCCTGCAATTTTTACTTGCAAAGGTGCACCAACTACTTGCACATATAACACATTTACATGCACCAAAGTTCGAGTTATTTATAAAAATGTCACCGCGTCGTTTTTTTTAAATTACATCTGATTCGTTGATCTGGACACGTGGATGACGTTGATCTATTCGCATTTCCTTCCTGGGCACTTATTCGCACAGGAGTGCGACCATGATATATATATATATATATATATATATATATATATATATATATATATATATATATATATATATATATATATATATAGGGAAGGGATCAGGTGCATTTGTTGCTTCCCGTGCGAATGTGCGGTGGATTAATGTGCGTGAGGTTTATACTTAATGTGCGTGAGATTTGTACTCAATGTGCCTGAGATTTGTACTTAATGTGCGTCATGTTAATATGCGTGAGTTTTGTACTTAATGTGCCTGAGTATTGTGTTTAATGTGCGTGAGATTTGTGCTTAATGTGCGTGAGTATTTCAGAATTACGAGCTCAGAAGGAAACAGAACAGAAACTGACGCACATTAACGCCCAAGCTTCTTGTTACTTCTTCCTTCAATTTGGCTATGGATTCTGGATTATCA